TTACATCAATTATATGTATATATAAGTGTATGTGTGTGTGTGTGTGTATGTGTGTGTGTGTGTGTGTGCGTGTGTGTGTGTGTTCCTATGTGTCTGTGTGTATGTGTCTGTATGTGTGTGTGTACTGTGTGTCGTCTCTGCGTCTCTATTGCCTGCTCTCTAGTCTCTTTCACTTATGGCTCCTACATGAAGGTATTTAAAAATACTTCAATTACATAAATACCAACAAGCAACGAAAAAATTATAACTCTCTTGTTGAATAGATCTGACTTCCGCTTGTGACTTCTTCAAATGCATAAATAAATATAAAAGTGTAACGTTTTACGTATATGTCTAAAACGTTGTATTCTGTGCATATTTTGGCCCTGATCGCGGCCCCGCCTATTCTCGATTTTAGGATACAAAATGTGAGACAAGGTTGGCGGTGACTAGTACAAGGGGGTTACAATGCGTGATTTCGGGCCGACCAGGGCTAGGACAAATCTCTGACTTGGAGATTAGCCCTCATCTTCGAAAACGTTAAACTTAAAGATTATATCGTTTACTTATTGATTTGAAATCGGTGCAACGCATAACGCTACGCAAAACGCTAGGTCAGGTATTTGTATATTTTATTTCCGACAGCGAGTATTTGATTTTGTGCAGTTGTTCACAATATTAACGAAATATTTCAAGTTACTCTCTTTATTTATGTAAATATTATTCTTCAGCCATGCGACATGCGTTTACGACCACTCAGGGTTTTGTTTTTCGTTAGGTTTCAATTTTGATATGCTTTGTTCTGTTTTTAGGAGGCTATGTGTGCTTATTATTTATTTCATGGCTGATCTCTGCTAAATTTTCGATTCGTCGGAAGGAACCTGATTTCTGCTCGCGACCCTAATAATCCAGGGTCATGTTTAATTGTTTGGCACCTGTCCTAAAATAATCACATTATTTCTCATAGCCTTCTGAATATTGAACATAAATATTTATTTAAGTGATTAGTTTAGGAAAAGCTATGTATGTTATTTCCGAGAAAAAAAATAAACAATATAAATTATATATGAATATTAATACATTCATGAGGTATTTACATAGATATTGATGATAAACATGATATAATAGCGAAGAGAATATGTGCATCCCTTCATACTTTGCATACGAATACATGCACACGTATATATATTCCTCACCCCGTTAAAAAAAGTTTATAATGTTACGATCTGCAGTGGATCTGTTGGGCAAACAGTGGAGTCGTGTTCTCACTAAAAACAACAGTAAGTACACACGCACACTCACAAGTACGCACACTCTAACACGTGCATGCAAATCGTATGCATCTACCACGACCTCTTCACAAGCGGACTCTGTTACAACTGCTAGTAGTAGTAAAGAAGCACCCGCTTTAGATATACACTTAGGTCAACCTGCATCATGGACACACGCACACCTGGTAAACACTAATGAACTCACTCCGATGGTGACATTCGACGAGTACAAACACCGCAGAAGGGCTCTCATGGACAGTCTTCCGGCTAATTCGTGTGTGATCTTACCGGGACATGCAACGAGTCTAATGAGTGCCGATATACCTTACCCATTTAGGCAGAATAATGACATGGCGTATGTGAGTGGATTCGAGGAGCCTGACAGTGTGTGTATCATACGGACAAAGGTATGTTATGTTGGCTAAAGAGTATGATGTTGAGAACTGGAAACGCTTATGTTTAGTCGACTGAATAGACATACACTAGAAGCTGGATGCATTTTTACCATTAGTATATGGACTCCGAATTACATACATACTTGCTATGTATATTGGGATAATGAATATTTTGATGACCTGGTGGTTTATTTCAATATTAATCCGTCCCTTTGTGTGATCAAAGATTTCATTCCATTGTAGAGCCTTGATGTGTATGAAAAAATGTCTATACAAATCGACTTGCGTATATGGCAATTAATAATAATGCTTATACCCACATGTATTTATGTGCATATATATATATATATATATAATATGTTGTGTGTGTGTGTGTGTGTAGTAATTATATATATAATATATATATATATATATATATATAGTGTGTGTGTGTGTTGTGTTTGTGTTGTGTGTATATATATATTATATCATATATATATATATTGAATGTATGTGTGTATGTATGGATGTATAATATATATATATATATATATATATATATATATATTGTATATAATTTTACATGTTCTTGTGTGTGCGTGCGCGTGTGTGAGTGTGGGTGTGTACGCCTGTGTGTAATAGCAAAACATATCGGTTTGTATATCTATGCTGTTTACATATTCAACATTCTCAGGGCAACGCATTCAGTTCCGCCGACGATGAGGAAAGCCTGAAGATGGCGTTGGTGGTGCCACCTAAAGACGCACACTCGGAGAAGTGGAACGGTGCACGTACAGGCACATCGTTTGCCAAGGCACACTTTGGGGCAGATGATGCTTACACACCGCCTCAGCTCGTGAACGCCTTAGACGACTACCTTAAGGATGTTGAGCACATATTTTACGAACATAGAACCCCTGTGCATACGCTATTCAACAAAACCATACAGACGTATCTGGCTGAACATAAGCATAGAATACCTTTGGTGTCGCCAACGAAGATCGTCCAGCAGCTGAGATTGTATAAGAGCGAGAGTGAGTATCGGATAATGAAAAGGTGTGGCGACATATCGTCTCGGGCCTTCGTACAGGTATAGCCTTAGTGTTTGGGTCGTTCTTGTGTCTCATTCAGGTGTAATTTTGTTTTGTTTTTTACTCGAATTTTAACTACTTTTAAAAGAGGTAAAATGCAATTGGCTTGTCCTTTACTACAGTTTTATATGTTTGAGAAATTTGTACTCCTACCGGGCGCATATATACTATAACCCTCGTACAGCTGTACTTGGGTACCTGTGCGTGTTGTGTCACGACGGTGTTTTAATTTTTAATTCCGAAATTTGTACTTAAGTTACAATCATCCTGATAATATTACTTTAGACAATGAAAGCGACGAAACCGGGCGTTTCGGAACACATACTTGACGCGGTCATGGACTTTGAGTGTCGAAAAGAAGGTTGCAAACGGCTGGCATATCCTCCAGTGGTCGCAGGGGGAAACCGGGCAAACACTCTGCACTACGTTAATAACAACAATATAGTCGAGTACGTTACTACAGGTTTGCTATCCACTGTTCTTACGCGCCTTCTATGAGTATGTGACTGTGGGATAATAGTATCTACTTATACCTAATCAGGAGCCATAGAAACAAGATCAAATTGCTGTCTGGATGGAACGTGACGGCGCTTGAGAGGAAAATCAGTGCATATACCCCTGTGTTCATACTTGATCCTGTCTACTTGTAATGGGCCCAATATATGTGAGTATACAGTATACATATTTGTTTCATTCGCAGTTCTGCTTTGCCCGTTGTCGTTGACAACGTGACGACACATATCGAGTGGTTTGCTTAAAAAAAATACAGTTCAGCTGGTGCTGGCGCTATTGGTTCGATTGCTTCGGCAGGAGTAAGCTTATGAATCCAATAAAATTCAATAACGGCTACAGTATGCATCAGTTTCAATCGCCACGTACACAAAGTATGATGGTTATGCTGATCGAAACAAAGATTTTCACCCGTACGAAGCATCAGTAGACACCACATCCCTGTACATATGGACGTTACAATGAGGCCTATAACCTGTGGATGGTTGTTCAGCATGTGGCATTTCAGGTACAGCCTGAGTGCAGTCACTCCCTTCCACCACGTTGTCGGAACATCATGCACACGATAAGAGTTTCTTATGCGTTTCATTCCACATCTGTACTTGATACGACAGAGACGGCGACCTAGTCCTCATCGATGCCGGCGGTGAGCTGTACAATTACGCAGCGGACATCACACGCACGTATCCGGCCAACGGCAAATTTAGTCCGGCGCAGAAGAAAGTGTACAATGCTGTGTTGAGGACATTGGAAGACCTCACCTCGTTGTGCAGACCATCCCAGAAGTTATCCCTGAATGTATTGCACGAACAGTCGAGGCGGTTGCTGTTTGATGAGTTGGTGCAACTGGGTATCATCACCGGCGGGCAGTCGCAAAGCAATCTGAAGGTGTGTTTTCGAGAACAGAATATATGTTTTTTCTGAATGCAATATCAATATTCATGTATATGTTCATATGCTCGCGTTCAAGGAGCGATGATGTGCTTGTGCATATGATCATAATACTGGTGTCTTGATACCAGCGTTCTACTAACGATTGTTTGCTTGTCAATATGATTACAAAACAGCTGTGTGTGCAAGTGGAGTTGGCAGGTTTGTTCTCGTTTAAAGGACAGTGCTTTTCAGCGCGTATGAAACCTATCAAAGTACGCACATAGATATATTGAGTCGAACCATTCCACACCCTTTTGTGACCTGAGTTTCACACTACACGATATTGGATCAATATTTAATGTTTTGAAGTTGCTGCTTATTTTACGAGAGTATCCCTGCGTTGATAATCGTAAACCACTCCACTTTGCAAGCTCTTGAATATCGTATGTACCTTATACACCGAAATTTCCCCGAATCAGGGTCACGTCATACAAATATAATTGGTATACATGGTATCACATTACACACAGGGAGCTACTAGCTAGCCATAGTTAGTGGACCTCGGCTATTAATAGTGTGTCTAGTCCAATTTTAACATGGTACACACCCATTATTGTATGATTTGCGACACCTCGATGGTAGTGTATTTATTCGTGTCCCCCATGTCCTTGAATACCACCTGGCGAACCATAGTGCAGCCCGTCTAGGTATTAATGAAACCGCTCCCTTCTAGTTCATTGTGCCTTTTTTTTTTAACGTTTCAACCCCAACGAGCCGATACGAGTGCAAACACGCGCAATGAATGGTGTGTTTTGACGAAGCTTTAAGCGATTAACATTTTCTATAGCTTCTAAATCGATGGTATCCGCATCACATCGGACACTACGTGGGGATGGACGTGCATGATTTGGGTTTGATTTCGAGATCTGAAACCCTTAAAGAGGGTATGGTAATCTGTCTAGAACCTGGTCTGTACTTCGCAAAGGATGACATAGATGTGCCCGAAGAGTTCCGAGGGATCGGTATCAGGATAGAGGATGATCTAATAATTACCAGTGATGGATACGAGGTAAGATAACTTCTTTACCCCCTGCTTTTGTATTGTTTATATACTATATACTTAAATCAATATGATGTACAAACTCGCGCTGCACTATTATTCGATCTTTTCGTGCACAGTGATGTCTCCTTTGTCGGTATAATAATGTGTCTGGCGCCGATTGTGTGGATTGCAAGTAGAAAACTTCGTGAGATCTGAAGGTATTCGTCGATCTATTAGCGGAAGGTGAAGATGTAACTTTTGTGTTTATATTCAGAACTTAAAGATGATTGTGCTGAATACCGATGATGCTTAAGTCGGCGTACAATCTTCTTGGACTTTTGTATATAATTGTTATATGGGGATGCACGTGTCCGTGACAATCTGAGCCTGACTATAAATAGTGCCTTCCTGGCCTCGCCAGCTGTACATTCATATGGTGGCTCATACATGGTGTGGATGCTCGTATAGAATGTAGGCCCGCGATCCTCAATTAGCAGACTGCCGAGCTAGGTATATATTAGAGACGCGTGCTTTCTTTGTTTACGATTTTTCTCGAGACGTTACTCGATCTATGGAGTTAACATGCCATGCCGCCCTTCCTGTTTGTGCTGGATGCAATGACCAGTAAACAATCAATTCCGCCAGAGGGCAAGTAGCAAAGTAGCACGTCTGTGCTGTCCAAGTTGATCCATAATTAGTCATTCATATGCGGGCTATCATAAATCCGCCATTGGAACTGTGCATTTCATGTAGTATCCCGGTATAATGACAGTCTCGATTTATATACGATAGCAGTGACGCAATTTGGCATCGCTTTAAGTTATTGTAACATTGCAACTGCGTGAATATATCACTTGGCTTATCATGGTTTTTGGATGCTATCTTTGAAAGTGATTTCCAACGCGATGTTTACTTGAATAAATTTCTGAAGTCCGCCTACTTCACAATTTATTATGTCAATAAAAATATGTCACATATGTATTGTTGAACTTCTACACAAATACAGGTGCTGTCCAGTGGCTGTCCAAAGAGTGTCGACCAGATTGAAGCCTTGATGTCGGCATAATGCAGTTGAAATCAAGTATTAAGCATGTTTATAAAGTATCGACTGACTATAAAATGCCGCTATATTCTAACTAGCATTTACCACTCACTGACTAGCACCTGTCGCACCGCCCAGAAAGGTAAAATATCCTCTTAAAGATAGTTCTTCTGGACGCTAGACGTCAAAAATGATCAAGACACTAGCTACATAGTTGGTGTAGGGAAAGCCATGCTTACGCATTTATCAAGGTTAAATTCAAAGGTTTCGAATCGACAAATATGATCTTCAATTTGGTCATCTGAAATTTTGAGATCGAGTTTCTGAAGGGCCGATGTGTTGTTTCGCAGACTCGTTCACACTGTAATTGAGTCAGATGATGATAACAACCGCGCTAACCTATCATTGATGTGATCTTCTATAGTATACTTATTCGGGCACCAAGTGACATCAATTTTGATTCGGTGACTAAGCGAAGCATTGAATATCGTACTTGTTCTTGCCGAGTAACATTGCCTGCATCTTGCGCAAGTTTAAAACTTACTGCAGCGCTATCGATCGAAATTATAAAATAATCTCGTAGTTAAGCTCAGCCCATAGTTTAGATCCTGTGAAATGTACTATGCAAGAACAGAAACCCTTAATCTTACAATAGTAGAAGGACTCCGTTCCGAAACTAATTTGCTATTTTTGAAGTTATGCTGTATATTCCTCAGTTGTATTTATTGATGTGAATCTATGCCTTATTTCTACATGGCGAAGTTGTGTATAGCTCGAAATCAGGGAGATTTCCAGTATTTGGATAATTGGTGGGGAACCAATGAGGAAGTACGACCTGGAAGTAGCAAGCCCCTTAGTGACTGGTGTCATGGGTATACCTAAAACTGGAAGTGACATGGCATGAACCACCAGGAATATCGCAGCAAGGGATTCGTAGTATCACACACAGTATAAATATGAGGAACATTATCCTATGAAGAACCACATCTCTCATACAGATACAACCGAAGAGTCAACCAAATCTTGGAGCAATCAACTATACCGCTCTCCTACCAGGGATTCGAACATCACCACCGAGGAAGTCATAGATTTCCAAATCGAGCAGATGACGACAACTCTTCCCAAATAACCCAAGATGTGGACACACTTCTTCGTCTATTATGGTGTGCAAAGAAGTCAGTACCAAAGAAACGAAGATTACGAACCATACTGTGGGCCAGTGTATTCACCTTGAGGGGGCTATCGCAATAATCTATAGGACTATCATGATATTCTAGTCTTAAAAATCATTAAGTGCTTGCAAGGTGGGTAAAAATATATCGTTTAAGGTATTCATGTGCAGTCTATGGAAGATAAGAGGTTGCAGTTGTGCGGTACATAAATGTGAATCCTTTTTAAGTCATGTATAGCCTATGGCAGGTAAGAGGTTGCACTTGTGTGGAAAATAAAATTTGGTAGAATCGTCGGTTGTATCTGTATAAGAGACATACCCCTTCGCAGGACTCTTGTTCTTTTAATGATATAGGGTGTGCCCTTCTTTATTTCAACCAGATCAATAAGACCCTGTGCATAGGTTTATTTCCTAGCACTGACTTAGATAGGGCCCAGCCATAGCTCTTGATCTGGTTCGTTTTGCAAGCTTCGCACTTAAAGTTCTTTTGCTCACAGATTTTACAGATTGGCATAGATCAGATCTCTGCGTCATTGTAATTACAGCTGAGTGCATCAGTGTATGATATTGCTTGACAATCCACATAAGTGCCAGGCCTACATAATAGATTCTATGTATAAAAGCACGGCAGGCCTATTATTGCAGACGCCTTGTCCGCCAATACCTTGCGTAGTACCGTATGTATACTGCGCCATGGTAGGTTTCTCCACGTATTATATTTACTCCAGTCAAACTTGAACGCCCTACTCTCGTTCTTGTCGTAAGCTGAGCGTTGTGGCTAAATGCAAAGGCATCGACATCGTTGGATACAAAATGAGACTACAGATTCCAGCAAGATGTATAGAACACCGCTGGGAAATTAATCCGCCGTACCCTCGCGAATGTGAATCGACATGTTTGATCATTTGTTCAATTCACCTGATACATGTGTGATTATGCAATTAAATTGTACAATGATATGGTGTCATCGCTGCAGCATACTGACCATTTTCAACTAGGTGTCCATGTATATGAGTGATGCCTTGTGATCCGTTTGTACGGTAAATCGCTGTCCGATCAAACGATCAAGGAATGTCTGCCAAATAAATATAGACACTGGTGATTTAACGGACAGTTGTGCATTATGTGCAAATGCCTGAGTATAACTGAACGGTTCGGTTGTCAGCAGGAAATAGTTATCTTTTACTGTGAATATCCCTGTTGCCGTATGGCAGCGTCATGCACATGTTCACATCAGACACCCGAGCATTTCAATACGAGCGGTCTGTGGACAAAGTACCTTAGGCGGACATTTACGACCGGACCAGAGGACCGGACCTAGAGAAGATTATTTGAGGACCGGTGTAGTAAGTCGCATAAGATAACTGGAGACGTTGTTCATTTATTACCCCTCTTCCTGTCAAAGATCATCATTCAATGATGGGTCTGTGCTGCGATGAACCAGTCCTAGTAACTTTACCCGAACCGGCGGCTGCCCTTTAAATTCTTGGGGAATGGACCCATCTCTATGTGTGAGGTCATAACCCTGATCGTTGCAGCTCTTGATTACGTATGGTCCAAACAATGATCGCATGGCTTTGGAAGTACGTCTCTCCGACTTCACCATCACAACGTCGCCTTCATCAAAGTTTACCAAGTCGTGGGCGTGCAGACGATCAAATGTCTCCGTCAACTTGTCCGTATATGCTTCGGTAATCTTGTGCAACGTGGGTACAATTGTATTCTGCGGCCCAGAATTCAGCAATACAACGGAACATGTCGTCGGCCGAAATATATACTAATCGATGCGCTCTTGTGTGGTCGTGAGATGCGCAGGTTCTGGTAGAGCATCGTAAAGGGTAGGCGTTTCATAGCAAATGCGTATCGACCGTGTTATGTTCTTGTGTCGACGTTCCGTCGCTCCGAGAACTTGTGGTCGGTAAGGTGGTGAAACTTTGTGGAATATAATTTCCACTTCCATGACGATTAGTGCCACCATGTTGTTAGTAACTTCTAGACCCATATATGTTTGCAGCTTTAAATATCGACAGCATCGTTTGAACGGTCGTTTTCTTGGTCTTATCGGGTGTGGCACGTAAAATGGAGTAATCCAATGCCACGTCTAACACGTGGAGAACAAATGTATTCTGTCGTGTGGATGTTGCAGGCATCGGAATATAATTAATCTGAATATGATCCCGAGGGTACTTAGCGTCGATGCGGATGGAATCCTCTCCGTAGAGTATCTTGACCCAAATATTTCTTGTGTGGTGCCCAAGCAACGATAGTATGGCGTGTGACGGAGTTCTGCATATCCCAGACGTTGCATAAAACTCTCTGCAAGTTGGAATCCTGATGGCGGTCCTACCCGTGTGACCACTGTATACCCCAATGGAGTCTTGCCGCAAGTATATTTTGCGCACTTCAAGAAAGTGTGTTGGGTCCGGGGCACCAACAATGGCTCTACTTGCAGTAATGGCTTAAAGAATATTTCTTGTGTGGTGTCCAAGCAAAGATAGTATGGCGTGTGACGGAGTTCTGCATATCCCAGACGTTGCATAAAACTTTCTGCAAGTTGGAATCCTGATCGCTGTCCTACCCGTGTGACCACTGTATACCCCAATGGAGTCTTGCCGCAAGTATATTTTGCGCACTTCAAGAAAGTGTGTTGGGTCCGGGGCACCAACACTGGCTCTACTTGCAGCAATGGCTTAAAGAGATCAAACCATGGTGCTTTAGGGGCCTTAAGAAACACACTGTTGCCGTGGCCCCGTCTGCTATGATCTTCCGGAGTATACGGTGTATCAATTTTCACGGTGGGTTCATCCAGCCATCTACCAAGGCCCAATCATAATCAAATGCCCCATCGCAATCGTTCTTGGTCCAAAATCGGGGAAGTTGATGTGCTGCGAATAAATCTGTTATTGTGGCCAAATATTCGTTGTGCTCGTTCGAAGTAGCTGGGAAATAATTGCCACTAGTCTGCATACAGAATTTTTGTAATGTCTGTCTCCGCAGTCCCTTAATGTGTCCGATTGAGCATATCTGGCAGGATGTTGTTCTCCCCGTGTATGCGTGAGATAGTGAAATTGGATGGCACTATGATGTGATGACAACACTGCATCATATAATAAAGCTTAAGTTGGGTACTCATAAACACTAGTGCCTTATGATCAGCAAACACTGCGAATCGTTGACCGTCCAGGTAATCTCGGAAGTGCGTCAACTCATAGACTGACCCCAAGAGTTTCTTCATAGGTGTTGCGTAGTTCTGCTGAGCCTTATTGAGTGTCTTGCTAAAAAAACAAGAGGTAGTGCTTCTTGCCTTCCACCCACTGAAATAAAGCTCCCCTTAACAGTAGTCACTAACGCCTGTCTCGAGGTTGAGTGGGACGTCATCCACCAGAAACTGTAGTGCGACAGCGTTGACTATATCGTCCTTCATTACTTGCCATGCATTCGAGTGGCGTTGTTTCCATCTGTTGCGTAGTTCTGCTGAGCCTGATTGAGTGTCTTGCTAAAAAAAAATGAGGTAGTGCTTCTTGCCTTCCACCCACTGAAATAAAGCTCCCCTTAACAGTAGTCACTAACGCCTGTCTCGAGGTTGAGTGGGACGTCATCCACCAGAAACTGTAGTGCGACAGCGTTGACTATATCGTCCTTCATTACTTGCCATGCATTCGAGTGGCGTTGTTTACATCTGTTGCGTAGTTCTGCTGAGCCTGATTGAGTGTCTTGCTAAAAAAAACATGAGGTAGTGCTTCTTGCCTTCCACCCACTGAAATAAGGCTCCCCTTAACCGTAGTCACTAACGCCTGTCTCGAGGTTGAGTGGGACGTCATCCACCAGAAACTGTAGTGCGACAGCGTTGACTATATCGTCCTTCATTACTTGCCATGCATTCGAGTGGCGTTGTTTCCATCTGTTCCCTATCTCCTCGTTAGGCTTGAGCTTACAGAATTCTCGTAACGGAGCGACCACGTGTGCGAAGTTAGGCAGGTGCTCGTGCACGAAGTTAGCCAACCCCGGCACGGAGGCGTTTTCTTTGTACCGTTGAGATATTGGTCAATCCAATAGTTTAGCCTGCTTCTCAAAGTCTATATCAATCCCTTTCGCTGAAACTTTCTTGTCCAATATCATGACTTCTGCAATTGCAAAGTGACACCTTGCCGGATTCAGTTTGAAGCTGTTGTATGTCAGTTGCTTGATGACCTCCCTCCATAGCGATTTGTTTTTCATAATCATCGCTGGCGATCACAATGTCATCAATGTAGTGGTGTACTGGCAATCCATCGAGTATCGTACTGAGTGTGCGTTGGGATTGCTGCGTCAATACATGTGATCCAAAAGGTGCGGAGGTGAACGAGTATTTGTATCTGTTATGTGTGAAACTAAAGAAATATCTGGAATCGAGATGTATTGGTAGCCTATGATACACTGCTGATATGTCGAGTGAGGTGTAATACTTTCTACTCTTCAGCCTAGAAATGATTTCATAAACCTTTGATATCAAGAACTGGTCTTCACATGTCAAGGCACACTCGAACCTTCGTTGCGTTGCCTTCACTGTCTGATGTCGGGACGGTCAATAGTGGAAGATTAACCGTCGTTGGTGTCGTACGCTTAGTGATCACCAGATTCTTCAACCACTTCTGTACTTGTTCATCGACGTAAGGTAACCATCTCTCGAATACAAAGTTACGCGTCGATCTTCTCATACTCATGGCTTGCTCGCGTGTCACCGGTATCACGACCTCACTCTCCTCTAAGTGGCAACGTGCATTGTCTGCATGTCGGCGTTCGCTTCTGAGACTGTGGCAAGTCTTGCTCGCACTCCGTCTGGTTGGATGGTGTTGGGGACATGGCGACTGGGCCATTGCTTAGAGAAGATCATCGAGTTCCGTTGGGTCAATTGGTGCGAGTGGTGATTGTATTACACAATGCATAAGCCTAGGTCAGTCATCATGTCTAGCTCTAGTATAATGTCAATGCTGTCTGGTAGATTCATTAACTCGAACGACCCGTTGATAATCTCTGAGCCATAACGTACCGGTAGCACTTCTGTTGTCCCCAGACGAGGAGTACGTACCGCCTTGTCCGCCAAGTATATAAATGAATCGATTGGCGCTGGTGTAGTCGGTCGTCCTAAGAGGTCTGCGGATGCTCGTGCGATGTAGCTACGGTTCGCACGTGTGTCTACCAACACTCGGAATGTACGTCCATTCACCTGCATTTGGATGTAGACACGATTATCAGAGGACAGTAGTGGGTCCCTAGTTGCCAGTTCTGCCTTCATTAGATGCGTAAACGTTAGTGCGACACCATAATCGGACACCCTCATGTCTCAGGGTTGCTCCGGTATCGGGGTCCACCGAAGACTGTGGTGTGGCCGAACGTGTATCTTCGACGTGCTCAAAATCATCTGTCAGAATTGAGTGTATGTCGATTTCTGTTGCTATCTGGCTGCCGTCCCCCGGCACTTCATTATGTGTGACTACATTAACCTATGGTGTCGCCGCGGGGGAGGACGTTTGCCTGTTTGGGTACTGTGGCGGTTGGTACCCGTGCCCTGCAGTCCGTTGTACTGATTATGGTTCTCGATGACTGGCGTCCGACGTCCTTGTTCTATTGTTCTGTTCCCCTGGTTGAGCGGCCCTATAGTGATGGCATCGTGGTATGTGGCGAAGTCCTGACGGCGCTTGTGTGCGGCAGCCGTTACACGTCGTTGGGGTGGTCGTTGTTGTTGGTCTTTGTCGCCATTGTTGCTGATGACGCTGTACTGTGTGTGGGCTGGGCCGACTATTCGTTGTATCCCCACGGGCGGTGTCCCCATTATGTCCTCGACGGTTTATCGATCGTTGTGTTGAATGAATCTATGTCTCTTGCATGTCCAGACTCAACAGCTATAATAAGTCATGCGTCTCCATCAGCTGTCACTTTGTATGTAACTGCAAGGTACGCTCATATGTGTGAGATCCACGGGTATCCTCTAGTGCAGTGGTTCAGTAAGTTTTTCTTAAAGTCTACATCGGTCTGACAACGCTCATGTTCACGACGATCACCGATTTTACCGGAACATTACTGAGTTTCATATGTCCCTTCGCTAGCTTGCGAAAGGTAGGGTCTACATTCGCCTGTGTCTCATGTGCACAAATTTGTGTTGTTTATAACTTGTGTCCATGCAACTAATCGAGCATGGATTGCTCGGCTTTAAAGTGACTCAACACTTTGTAGAACCACCGAAGACTCCATGTTTCATCTCACCCCAAAATCTGAGCATTCTTAAAGCTTTCCCATAGGGCTCCCTTGGTGTCGAGCTCCAAGGTTGTATCGGCAAGAGGGCCACTCTGACCAGCTACGCGGTTCCCGTGGTTCCTGTTGTTCGCCGGCCGAGATTCGTGTGTTGCTCGCAGTGTCTTGAGCACGCCTTGTGGAGCCTCCGCTCGCGGTAAATCATTTGCCTCCACCGCACTACACAGTTCCTCCGAAAGCTTAAGTATCCGTGCATATAATGCCTGGTGATCGGCTGCTATACTTTCCGCTGTAGGGTGTGTGTGCTTGTGCTGAGTTAGTCCCCGACACTTGTCTGCGGAAGTAACTTGGCTCGATGGTGTGCGTTCGAGCATCCGCTGTGCCGGTAACAATTCGCCCATTGCTTCCTGTTCGAATTGGTGGCCCTATCGTTGTGTATATAAAGATGGCTCCATGTTATTGCGACGGTTGTCCAACCCCTCCCTGCCGTGAGGGTTCTACCTGGCCCGTTGTTGTTCCTGTACGGAACTATTGAGCAATAAAGTATCCTACAGTGTCTCACTACCCTCCTGGTCCGACGACGTTTAGCTTATCCCGTGTCGAGTCTGGTCTACCCATCTAGTGCGGAACTTCAGGTTGTCTGATGTCGGAGGTGTGGTAGCGCGTCGTAGCCGTTGTAACTGTCGATCATACTTCTCCAGCAGTGCTTGTTCTGGGGTGTCATTGTCTCAACTTCGCCGGGTGCGGTAACGAGGGCTCTTACCTGCTGCGGCTCTCACTTCCTCTCTGGGAGTCATCTCTTCCTAGTGTGGAGCCTGCGAAACTGAACATGCAACTCCTAATGGGTAGGGAGTCTACGATTATCGCTCCGTGAAGTCCACGTCACTAGGAGTTATTATTCTCCCATTATGTTGCTGTTGTGCCGCTAGTTCACGCTGAAGTATCGTCTGCTTAGTTCGATGTTCGACATCAAGGTCGTTCGACTGGTCTCCGCCATGGGCTACGCGCTCCTGGCCCGTCGTCTAAGACCACGTTGATGGATGTCATCTCGTTCGCGTTGCTCTGGAGAGAGGTGCTGTTGTCGACGGCTTTGTCGAGTGTTGGCCATAATAGAAGTAACATGTGTTTGCTTATAGATAAACGATGTGACGCTTTGTGTGCTGATCTTTTGTCTTAAATACACGTCGTCTCTGTGATCCTGTCTCGTTCGGACCACCTGAGACAACGCAATCGATTTAACAATCGTAACAGCTCTGCTTCTCTGGCATGACATTGGTGTCTCGACCTTGTTTTTCGTGAACAACCTTGCTCTGTGCTAACCTCGGTTATCGTTCCGAGTGCTCCTTGCTCCTCCGGATTTCCCCTTACTCTCGGTCCTCGTGCCATTACTTCCCTTGGGGCTCCTTACTCGCGACTGTTACTACCCCATCTCACTGCTACGCATGCTCATTACTCTCCGATTCCCTTCTGGCTATCTTATACCACGCTAGCTAGATGCTCCTTCTTTTGCCATACGTCGCTCTCTCCTTTCACCTCTCATCAATACGAGCTCTTCGTTTCCCTTATTGTGCTTGGGTCTTTCACTCACATATTATTACTGCTCGTTTTACATGCTCACTCTTGCTGGAAAATACATATTTCTCACGCAAAATTGCCCACTATTATGCTCTTGTATAACCCGAACTGTATTTGTTCTCTAAGTCCTATTTGTCTACAATTTGTTATGTACCCATCATTCATGTGTGGACTGTCAATGCGTCTAGTGCATATGTATTGCCTGCTTGGTATACGATGTATTCC